AGATAGATAGATAGATAGATAGATAGATAGATAGATAGATAGATAGATAGATAGATAGATAGATAGATAGATAGATAGATAGATAGATAGATAGAAGCTGTGGCCTTTGGCCAGTGTGCTTTAGCTAGCATTTAGACTAAAAACACAAAGCCAGAAGGCAACAAATGTATATGTACGACAAAAAAACAAAAACAAATGATGTGCTTTAATGGGAGTTATTTACAGAATTATTGGCTAACAGGTTGTCATACACTGTGATGAGCCAAAGAAAGAAAGAAAGAAAGAAAGAAAGAAAGAAAGAAAGAAAGAAAGAAAGAAAGAAAGAAAGAAAATGGTGCATTCCTCAGTTTTATAAATTGAATGCATATGCTGCCTGGAGGGAGCCTAGTCTGCTGAAAAAATCAAGTTTAAACATAAACAATCTGTCAGATTTGTTAAGTATTACATTATTGTCAATTTAGATAGGTGTGGTTTTGCTCAGTTTTGGTCACAAAAAAAGGAGGAAGTTACATTTTAAAGTGTGCATTGTTTCTGGAGTCGTAATAATCGTCACAACAACATATAATGCATGGGACATGGTGTTTTACACATTTACCCACTTTTCCACGGGAATTGTGTGATTACTCTTAAATGTTTTAAAAAGCCATTTCAGTCTGTTTTAAATATATGCAAGAAGTTGAGTGAATTTTACTGTTGGTAACACTAAACAAAGACTGATGGACAGGTAGGGACTAAAACTGCAATTAATGGTGTTTAATAATCTTTATGAACAACTTCACTTGCTAGAATGAAGAAAACAATCTCATACAAATATTATTATTAATCATTGTTGATGTGTGTTTTTGGAGTCACGAACACAATGTATTTCCATCCAACAACCACACCAGGCTTGACTATGCTGGTATTTGCTAAGATGCACGTGTATTTTAGCTTCTCATGACAGAAAGAAAAGGAAAAAGTTGTTTGGGCTCATGTAATCTGTTTTTTTCCTTTGGTTCTCACGTAGTTGGCATAATTTCGCATGGCATTTTGTTGTCACTAAACAAAGTTTAGTAGTGTCCACTTATAACAACACATACTCTGCGATTATCTGATGTGATACTTCCCTTGGCCTCATTTGCACTCTGTTGTGCAGCCTGTGGGACGTCTTGTGTACAAAAAACACCACCGCTGCCCTCTTGTGGTAAAAGCTGGGACCAAGAATTTCAAATTCAAATCAAATCAAATTCAAATTTTATTTGTCACGTACACAGTCATACACAGTACGATATGCAGTGAAATGCTTAGACAACTGCTCGTGACCTAAAGAAAAAAAGAAAAGGCTGTGAATAAGATAGGAAATAAATATGAAAATTAGAAAGGTTAAATTTAACTAGGAAGGAATAAAATAAAATATAAAAATTAAAGTTAAAAATGAAATAACTGTACAACACAAATTAGAATGAAAGGTAAATTTAACTGGGAAAGAATAAGATAAAATATATAAATTAAAGTTAAAAAAATAAAATAACTGTACAACAAAATACACAATACACAGTATAGAACTATATAAGAATGTATGAAGAAATATATACACAATAACAGCAGCTGTACAAGTATTAACTGGAAATGAAGAATATAATGTCCAGTGTTGTGCAATCCACATTATGTCTTGTGCAGTGCAAATATGCTTAAAGTGATTTAAGTGATGAAGTGAAAACAATGTCCAGAATGTCCCCTGTGTGTAAGAACTATATGTGTGGGTCAGTACTGTGTGGTGGTGCGATTGAGAGACCGTATCGCCTGCGGGAAGAAGCTCCTCCTCAGTCTCTCTGTGTTGGTCTTCAGGGAGCGGAATCGCTTTCCAGACCTCAACAGACAGAACAGTCCGTTGTTGGGATGGCTGAGGTCCTTCACGATCTTCCTGGCCTTGGTCCAGCACCACCTGCTGTAGATTGAGTGCAGGTCAGGGAGCTCGGAGCGGATGGTGTGCTCGAAATTTCGAGAAAATAACTCGGAATTTTGAGAAAATAACTCGAAATTTTGAGTTATGGATCCTTTTTTTAGTGGCTTCCATACCCTTCAACCATGTTATGAGAGTCGATTTTTGATACTTTGACCGCCAGAGGGCACTATGCAATTTCCCTTTTGACAGCAGGTGTTTCTGAACCAAGGAGTTAGGCAGAGTAAGCAGTAACTAAATAACTACTCATTACAAATCTTAGAGGCATCTGTTCATGGTTCACGAGTCTGAAAGAAACAAGTATTGGATTTCGAAATCAGTAAATATCGGCTGTGTCCCAATTAAGAGACCGCACGCTTGAAGTACGCATTTTGAGTGCGATTACGTCACCGCCACGCGACGACGGCTGTCCCAATTCGAAGTGTACTTCAAACGCGTATGGCTGTGTCCCAATTCAGGGTCTGCACGCTTGAAGTACGCGCACTACGCGTACTACGTAGTGCGGAAGTGAGAGGCTTGTGAAATGGGACGGTCTAGCCTTCGTAGCGCTGTTCAGGTTGCCTAGGAACCATGATACTAACCGCGAGAAACGTCTCATACAGCTTTGTGTGACAGAAATGAAGGAGAAAAAATGTTTTGTTGGTCATTCATTTTTGTCATGACATCACTTTGATTAGTTGAGTATCTGAGGCTGAGACCACAGGACTGGAAAACATGATAGTTGGGCTTCATTTCTGTACTGAACAGTCATTTCAAGAGTAGTTAGTAAATAACAATTAGCTCTTGTTGTTCATGTTCACTATAGCCATCTCACTGTGGTAATGTAAATATAATATGGCCAATATCATAGTATTGTCAGATTATTATGATATCTATCTATCTATATATATGTGTGTGTGTGTGTGTGTGTGTGTAGAGGCTTTAAACCCAAGTTAAACAAGTTACAAACATCACTAATGTCACATAACTTTGCTGATATGTGGCCAACAGCAATGTTTTAATGTTCTTCGTTATTAAACATTCGCACATAAATAGGTGACATCATATTCAATACTTACTTTTGACAGTTCACTCTTCGGGGGCTCCCTTCTGCCGTATTTTGCGGCAAAATTATCCACACCCACCGCCGTGCTATCAATTGTGGGATATATGGGAAGCGTGCACCGGACCACGCTTGATATTTGGGGAAATCGACGGCGCATTTGGAGTATGCATTTGAAGTACACTTCGAATTGGGACAGCCGTCGTCGCGTGGCGGTGACGTAATCGCACTTAAAATGCGTAGTTCATGCGTGTAGACCCTGAATTGGGACACAGCCCCTGAATTGGGACACAGCCATTGACTGTAGAAAACATGGACGACGCGACCCCGCCTCCTACCATTGTGCAAAAATGAAGCCAAAATACCCCGCTTGTGGAGGCTGCCATCTTGCAAATTTGGAGACAGAGGCTGTATCCCAATTCAGGGTCTGCAGCCATCATTATTAGTTATTACAGCAGTGAGTTTGAACTCACAAATCAAATCACTTCTACTGTCACATCACATGTGCAGGTACACTGGTACAGCACATGTGAGTGAAATTCATGTGAGTGAACTCTGTGTCAAATACTGAGCTTCAGTAAAGATCCAAGTTGCAGCTATTCATATGTCCTATCACCTTAAATCTTCACTCAAAGATACTCAAGTATCTTTGACAGTGTATATATAGATGTATTATATATAAGAGACAAATGTTGTTTCTTCAGTATGTTGACATTACTAAATTTGGCTCAATACTTACATATATCTGTAAAAAGCAAATGTACGAGCTGTGATAACTGTGTCTGATAGAATGAAGAGTAGACTGATATATTAAATATTCCTTTATTGGGTGAGAAAATCATACCATGTCATAACTGCTTTAAGTCATACATAATAGATATCAGAGCTTTAAATAGGCTGATTTCTGCTAAATGGGTCAAACTGGGCAGAAAGTAAACAAACACAACATCCTTATAGAATATGATGTAAGACTATAGATCAACTTACCTCAGAATATATAAAGCATATAAACAATTACAGCAATATGATGCAACAAACACAGCAGTGCTACTAATCCAAAATACTCAAAGCTTCATAGAACTGAAACAAACATTTATTTTTAG